TATTCCGATCAAGTTTGAAGTTTTCGGCCAACTTCCCAGTTTTTGGCTACCATTACCAGAAACCGATCAATTTTTCAGCAAACTTTCGGTAAAAAACTTAGATTTTGAAAAAAAATTTTAGAATCTGACGGGCATTCAATCAGAGTTCTTCAGGCTTTTAGAGAGAAGTGAGAGAAGAAAAAGGAAGGGAGGAGAGGGAAAAAGGGATTCTAAGAAAAAAACTGACCTTCAGCCTTATATACCCTCCCCAAAACGAAGTCGTTTCTACGTTAAGTAATCCAGAAGATCTGTTAAGCCGAGCCGTTCCCAGATTTTTTTTTTTTTTATATATTTATATATATATATTTATTTATTATTATTATTATCGTATTAGGTTTGTTTAATATTTTATATTTTTATTTCTATTTTCATTTATTTTCCTTTATTTTTATTTTCATTTTATTTTTTTATTATTTTACTTTCTTTAAATAAAATTCAAAAAAATATTTTTGAGAAAAAGTTAAAAGTATCAATTTTCTTTGAAAATAAGCTTTTCAAAAAATATTTTTGTAGAAAAATTGAAAGTATCAATTTTCTTTAAAAATAAATTTTTAAAAAAATATTTTTTTTTTTTTAGAAAAAGTTGAAAGTATCAATTTTTCTTAAAAATAAATTTTTTAAAAAAGATTTTTTTTGAGGAAAAGTTGAAAATATCAATTTTCTCGAAATTAAAGTTTCCAAAAAAAATATTTTTGGAGAAAAGTTGAAAGTATCAATTTTTCTTAAAAATAAATTTTCAAAAAAGGTCTTTTTTGAAGAAAAATTGAAAGTATCATTTTTCCTTAAAAAAAAATTTTCAAAAAAAATTTTTTTTTGAGAAAAGTTAAAAGTATCAATTTTTCTTAAAAATAAATTTTTCAAAAAGGTTTTTTTTGAGAAAAAGTTGAAAGTATCAATTTTTCTCGAAATTAAAGTTTCTAAAAAATAATTTTGGAAAAATGTTGAAAGTATCAATTTTTCCTGTACAAAAACAATCATTTTTTTCTTTTTTTATTTTCTTGAATTTTCTTTAATGTTAAATAATCCGACGATGGAGCCTTTGTAAGTGAGACAGTAGTTTTCTTGCATACTGTTGAGGTGAGGGAATTTTTTCAATTTTCTACTAAAAGTATTAGAGTCAATTGAGAATAATTTTCGATAATTAATTACTTGGTAAATTTTTAAGGCTTATTGGATAACATAAAATTAAGATGGTACCATCTTTCGATAGACGTTGTGAGGGTGCTATAACCTTCCTTACACGTAACTGAACTCCCGAACATTGTTCTGGTATATAGACCCAAACCTATTCGTTTAGGGACCCTTAAACTTAGGTGTTCCCTGAAATGATAGATTCCTTAGGTGGCCAATCGCACCTAGATAAAAAAGATTAGTGGCGACTCCTTCAAGTCAATGTCTAGCGATAGATCCACGGATCTAGACATTATGACAACCTTCATGTCTGAGCTTGACACCAACAAAAATCATTATAATTTTATATACAAGATAAAAGATAATGATCACCTTTCATCAATAGAGTTTATATACTATTCTCAAGATTCAAATTTAAAAAAATCTCAAAATGTAATGATGCAATTCCTCAAAATTATTAGAGGAATTAACGTATTCACATCCAAGACTTATTCAACGGACGAAAATGATTAGGTTAAAGATATATTTTGATCAACTTAAGTTTAATAATCTTTGTATATATGTTATCACTTTACATTTTCATATCCTATGCTACTTGTACTTTGAAATTTATACTTATTATTTCGATAGAGTTATCCTTGTACTATAATATATTAACTAAATTATTACCCATGTGATGCATAAAATAAATTTACTTATTTAATATAAGTATATACATGTAAATTAATTTTTTTAAAATTATATTCAAATCTTTAAAATGTATAACATATATAAAATTCATATATACTGACTTATCATTAAAAAATAAACTTTTTTCAAATAGCAAGAAGAAAATTATATGTCTTCCTTTTGAATCATATTTGTCTTCTTTTTGAATCATATTTGTCTATAGCAATATTTATATATCTGCAATATTATATCAAATATAAATAAATTATGTCTTTTTTAAAAAAATAAAAAAATTATACACTATTGAAAACAAATTAAATAATAAAAAAATATTAACATACTCTCACTTTTATAATATTGACTGAATTACTATACAATATATGAAAAATATTAGTAGATATACGAAAAAAATAACAAACAAATTAAAAAAATATTATTTTTCATAAGAACGAAATTGTAAAAACAACAATATATATTTTAGAAGAAAAGTTATGAACAAAAAAATAAATTACAATATTAATAGAATATACCTTAAAAAAATTGCAAACTGAAAAAATAAAAAACTGATATAATACATTAAATTTATAGTTTTAAATTTGTAGAAGAATTCTTTAGTAGCAATTAGGATTAAATAAATAATTTTTAAATTAATTTTTAAAAATTTAAAATAGATATAATAAGTGATAAAAATGAAATCAAATTTTTATATATATTTAAAATATAAATTTGATAATTAGAATTGAGGTGGATCTAATCTTTTTAATGATCTTATTATTTAAATATTTAATATGAAAAATTGTTTGAACTTTTAATGTCTTACGTAAAATTATTTGAATTTTTAATCATAAATTTTTAAAATGATAATTTTTATTTATTCAAATTAAGATAAAAAATAATGTCAAAAGATGAATAAATTTAATCCTTATATTTGTAAACATGTTTGAAAGATTTTAATAATTAAGTAATTTCTTAAATAAGATTCTTTTTGGTAAACAATTAAAATTATTTTTTAAGAAGATAAAATCCATATTTCATATTTTTCGTTTTAAAAAATATAATTCTAAATTGATTTTATTTTCAATTATAATTTTAATAATTTTGATATTTAAATAAATTTAAAATCATTTAATTTGTAATTAAAAGAAATTATCTTACTCTTTTAAAAATTATACTATATATCATTCAAAAGAATTATTCAGATAAATGTTCATATGATAAATATATTTATTATGTTATAATATAATATAATATGATATGATATAATATAATATATATATATATATATATATATGATTTGAACAATGACAGGTATATCTTTTTATCAAAATTCAGTTTTTTTTTTAACTTTAATTAGTAAGAATATTTTTTAGCTTGTAACTTAACTTTAATTCATAAAATTATTTTTTAAAAAAATAATATTTGATAATTTTAAAATTTAAATTTGGACATTCATAATATTTTTGTTTTTAAGCTGTTACCTATATATATATATATATATATATATAAACTTTTCGAATATTCAGTACTGGTTAGTAACATTTTCTAGGCCAAATAGTTAAATTTTCATTAATTAGTTTGTACATTTGGTAGATGGGGCATCTTGACCATTTGGTCTTCAAAAAATATAAATTTAAAGATTGTGAATCAGCTGAGTTAGGCAATTTGTGACTGGATTCATTCAACCGTGAGTGATTGAAGAATATTACTTGCAAAAGGACGACATAAAAACTTTTTGGAGTAACTTTTACTGGGCAATGAATGATATGATGATGATGATGTTTTCTTCTTCGATATGTCAAACGTAGATGCGAGTCCATCAGAGATTTGTTTCAAACCCATGATTGAAATCAGACCAGTGTGAAGAACATGGGGATGCTTTCACATTGGAGTCATGGTCCTTCTCTTTCTTTGTTAATGTTATTGGGGGAATCATAGGAATAAATAATAAGACATATACATGAACTGACCTGGCAATTTGGCAATAAATAATAATAGCTTAGTACTATGTATCCTGCAGGCTTTGACGCTTGCCCCTTTGCATGGCTGCTTTTCGACATTTGGACCGCCTCCGCATCTGTCCCATTCCCATCCTTTTTATTTTCTCCTTATATTTACTTTTTTTTTCCTGGATAAAGGTTACAAATTTGCTAGTGTTCAAGATGCATCTAGAAAATAATTATAGTGACTCGATGCGGTGTTGCTGACTAAAAAGCTTGTTTTTAGTTCTGGGTTTTGTTTATGACTTATAGAAAATTGGGTTTGATTAGATTTCTTACATATAGTTGATCTCAAGAAAAGGGAGAATATTACCAAAGATTAATATGAAGGGGAGGAAAGCCTAATGCTACGTTTTCCTTTTAAAGATGATGATTTGTGAAGGTTGTCATTGAGAAGATGAATCCTCAATGAAGATCGAGGGGATAACCGTAATAGGAGCTTCACTCAACTTGTGAAGGCCACACTATTTGTTCAATATTCAAAAATCTTACTTGCTTGAAGTGCACGTTGTGATTTTACTTTGTTAACATGTGTGAGACAAATGCCAACGAAACACAATGAAAGTTTCCCGATTTAAAAAGTATTGTTCTCTTAAAAATGTATTTAAAACCATTTTTCTATATTTTCTCAGCTAATATTTTTTATAGAAACATGAATCCTTGAGTATCTATAGAATTTTTTTACCAAATATTTTCTTATGATATTTTTATTTATAGTAGTATTTTTTACCAGTATTTAATAATTATATAAAAATCAAAATATATCATTAAGAATTTAATTTTATTAGAAATATAAAATGTAATGACAATAAAGATAAATAAAATGAATCATTTTCAAACTTCAACATTTACAATTATCAAATAGTAAAATTATATTCAACCCTTACTTTTGAGCAACATACCAAATAGTTTCTATGATACAAATTCAGTACTTAATTTTTTAATTTATCAAACACCATTTGAACTACTGCATTACATTCTTTCCTTAGAATTTTTTCCCTCAATGGCCTGCCACCTTTCACATATTTGCAAGCCTTATTAGATTAAAAGATTTCTAAGTAGTACAGTATAGGAAAAGTAGGAGAGAAAGGGGCTTAAAATGAAAACAAAAGGGAGATATGCGATGCCAAAGATTTTATTAATTAAAAACATAATCAATCCATGTCAAGCCAGCCACTCCCCGTCCATTCCTTCAATTTCTCCAATGTCCATGCTGTGAATCACAACAACACAAGACAAAAAATCAGAAGGGAAAAAAGAAAGTGAACTCGTAATATAAAATCTCGACAACTTTTATACGGCAGTGGAATTGATAAACGCTTTTGTTTGTACGCATTAGACCCCATTATCGGAATTGAAAACTCTGCTAGATTGGTCAAAGTGACCCAACTTCTATAAGAAAAACCCCATATCCCAAACTTATATGGGCCTCTTTCTTGGGCTGTTTAACATTGAGTTTGGGTGAGGATATAGGTGGCATCTATTGGATCGAGCCTTATAACAGAAAATGAGGTAAATTAACTCTTTTCGTGGTCAGAAATTGTAACCTTGCCTATGAATCCGATTTAGCGAATTACAAGTAACTTTAGTCTTTCTATTCAATCCAATTGAACTCTGATGGATTTGCCAAAATATTTTGATTTTTTATATAGTAGTTAAATTGATGATCAATATTATACTAAATTTCCAAGGTATGAATGGACATGACATCGGAAATATTCCTAATTGACATTTTCTGATCTTTTTATTTTGAAATTTTGGATTCTTACCAAGGTAGGGCAGGATCCTGGAAGTAGTCATCAGGGCAAACATCATTGAAATGTTGCTGCAAGCAGCTGTCATTTGCATTCAACCAGGCAGGAAATTCCATGACTTGATCAAATGGTTGGTACCCATCATCTTCAACTTTCACTTCAGGCCCAAGTTCCATAGTCTTCAAGAACTTGAACCACCATGCTGATGTTACCAAATTCATAGCGTCATTCCACTCCATTTGATGCTGCTCTCCTAATGATCTGATCTCTGCCATTTCCTCATCACCCATACCGTGATGCAAACCTCCCCCACAGTAGGATTCAGTTAAATCAGCCATAGCTGTAGGCCCCACTTCAGGTGCTAGTGCAACTGAAGGAACTTCTTCAGTTACAACGGATAGAGTCGGGGAAGATGACGATGATGGAGATGAGGATGAGTAGATTGATGGGTTGTTGCTGTTGTAGCAAAGGTTGCCGTCTATGTTGTTGAAATCATGTAAGTTTAGGTTTAGACCTATGGTTTGGTTTGGTAGAGTGAAGTTCAAAGCGTCTGTGGCAGGTCGAAGAGGAAACGGAGAAGCAGGCCAGGAACAAGGATTTGGATGAGGAGGGTAATTATGTTGAGAGAAAGAGGAATACGAAAATTTGTCTAAATTATAAGAAGAGAAGTTGTTTGTGCTTGACGGGTATATTCTAGGATTTCTCCCAGACTTTATCTTTGATTCTTGTTCAAAAGGTGGTGGAGATGAAAGATGAGAGGGCTGTGATAATTGCTGTTGTTGTAGCTCTTCTTGTTGTTGCCGTTGCTGTTGTTGTTGTCGTTTTTGCACATTGGCTTGTTTCATGGCAGCTCTGTGGAACTTGAGGGCAGTTATAATTTCTCTCCTAGCCTCAGCCATGTTAAGCAGCCTTTCTTGGTAAGGCCTGCTGGTGTGAAATCTCCTCCTAACCTGTTTCTTATGTGGTTGAGGTGGTTGTGGTTGCTGCGTCTGTGGTGTTTCACTAAAACCTTCACCATATTTACTCAAATTTTGGCCATTAAAACCGTCAGCATCAACAGATTCAGGGTCTTTGGGGTTCATGGGGTCTTCGGTTTTGGAAGAGGTCAGTTGTTTAACAGGGCTAGGGATATAAGCACTAGAGAGACGAGGCTTTTCTTTGAGTATACCAATTTTATCAATTTCCTTTCCTTTTGTATCTCACTTTTTTTTTTCAACTTAGGACTGAATAGATAGAAAGTTGGTTGGAAGAATCATAGTTTTTTCTCTCAAATATTCTGAAAAACAAAGTACAAAACGCAGAGAGAGGAGCAGATACTGATCCGGATGAGACCGGAGGGCCTCAAAGGGGTGTCATAAATACTAGCTGGGGACTGTCTAGGATTGTTAAAATTTTTTGGATTTTTCCTTGTTTTGGCAATCAACATTTGTTACCATTTTATTACATGCTTTAAATGGGCAGTTAGGAGTTCTCCTTTACTGAACTGGCCTGTTCTTTCATGTACATTTACGAAAAGTTTGCCTCCCTTTTGGTGGGAAAAAAGTTTGCCTCCTTCCTTCGATCATTTCACCTCCAAGCAAAAAGCAACCAAATATTGAATACCCCATCGGGTGACTAATCTGTCAATTGCCATAAAGATGTGAAGGGTAGCTTCATTTAGTGCAATGACCTTGTACAATCTACTTTCATAGCACACTTGCAAAAAAAAATTGAAGATTACATCAAGTGTTACTGGTAACAATTTGCAATTTATCCAATTAAACAGTTGAACAATAGATTAAATTATTGAAGTTATCCGGACAAATTTCAGTGGCTTTTATTGAGACAAATATAGGAGACAGCTTCACTGAATCTTTATAGCAATTTTTGTAACTATTTCATGCTGGAATGATCAATCACTGGATGATACAAAACAAAAAAAAAAATTTGTGATGATGAACTTAAATATATCACAGTACATATATATTTATATATATATATATATATATATATATCACAGTGGAGTATTTGGTTCTTGTTTCCCATTATGTCAAAGGGGACAGCCACTGACTCGTAGGTAGGATTTAGCAAGATGAAAAAGAGATAGGAATTCCTAGGTGAATTGAGAAGCTGGCAATTGGATTGATGTTTAGCCGGTAATTTATTGATTTTTACTGGTGGTAAGTAACTCAGAACCTGAGGACAATTTAGGGAAACGACTGAATAGATGGGTTATTCTGGTATCTTGTCTGCAAGTACGATGGGACCAGGCTATGAGAAACATCGGCGAAAGCCTAATACAAGGTGCTGACAGACGAATCTCCATTACTGTTGTTACCTACCCTTTTATATCTGGAAAAGAAGGGAAATATTCCAATATTGCTGTTTAAATCAAATTGTTGGACATGATTTGAGTGTGTTTATGAAACAGAGAACTTGGACCTTTTGTAAAGGTATTCTACAGCAAGTTAGAGACAGGAATGCTTCGTACCATCCTCATTTTTTTCCCCTGTAAGAAGTATTCCTCAGTCTTGCTGCTGCCATAATTTTCACTAAACCTCTTTTTTTATTCTTCGACTTTCTTACTCGAATTGGAGATGGCAGAGCCAGAGGCATGGCTCCTGCGGCTTTTATCAGAGGTTTCAGGCACCAATAAAAGTGAAAATAAAGCGTAGAGAAGAGATATTATGACTGCTGTCAATAATAGTAACAAAAACAAATCAGCTGCTGCAATACATTTAAGAAAATGTGAAATCTAGACAGTTATGTTTAGCATTACCACTTTATTTTATAATCAAATTTGTAACTGACACTTTTTGTTCATGGATGTAAAATGTTGTTCATATAGGGAGCAAATGTAGCCTTGTCTGTTTAGAAAGAATTATATATGAAGCTTCAAAGCAATCAGGGAAATAAAAAGTTTTGCAAAAAAGATTGTGTTCAATTTGAATCGGTTGAACTATACATATCTCAAGATATCAGAAAAACCATTCTAAAGTCCAGTGCTTACCTCATCATTATAGCCTAACAATGGAAGCATTGAAAACCATCTGATCTGCTTACCTTTCAACACACAAGTAATTTCTCCCTAGTACTTTTTTTGGCACTGAAATGATGCATGCTAATGATTGTTGGAAATTCACGGCTGTTACAAAAGATAGCTACCTACTTATAAAGTAAATTAACATTTTGGCCAAGTTAATTTCACATGTTTATACTAGGACTTATAAAACAAGACCCTAAATTTTTTTGAGGGCAGCATGTACACTTATCCTTTATTATTTGGACACTCCAAATTGGCACTTTTAGTATAAACCATGATAAGTTTAGAATATTTTAAAATTTTTGTAGCACGCATGTCACAAATTTTATCAATAATAAGAAAAAGGGTTGGTTTTAAATTGGATAATTGTCACAAATGCGTCTTTTTTTATCAGCAAAATATATCTTTTGTGTTAAAAATATGAAGTCGTGACAATTCGCATCAGAATATATCTAACTCTTCACTGATGTGAAAATCTCATGAGAAATACCAGGATTGAGGTAGGCCCGAACCAAGATGGATGTAATTGTATATATTGAATAATTGTATATACCAAGATGGAGCAAATGTAGCCTTGTCTGTACATCTTAAGTCACGAATTTTACATCGGTCTTGAACATATAAATTATGGGTCTTCTTTCACCTCGCCACTTAAGATGTACAGCAAATACATAACCATTGAACTAAGAAGAACTTGTGATCAAAAAATTAGCTAACTGACTATAGATGCATTAGGACTGATCTTGACTTGTATGTTCAATCTTCCCAATAGGTTATCAAACATGAAACCTAATTATTATGTACAGTAAACATATAATACATTTATTTTCGCTGTTAAATGGGATTATCAGTTAATGACAGCTACTTAAGAGTGGTGTTTCATTGTAAGAAAATGGGGTTTTTTTCCCCTTTATTGCTGAATGACAGAATGATCTTTTAGTCTTCCGATTCTTGGCTTAGTGGCAAATAAATCTTAAGGAAGCTATTAGAGTTTGATTTTGAACCAAGCCACCCCTTCCCCTTTCCATGTAATACGGCGTTACCTCCTTTGAAACGAAAAAAAAAAAAGGAAAAAAAAAACTGAATGATCTTTTAACATCTTGGAACAAAATTAACATTACTCAACAATGTCTTAACCCAAAAGTAAACTGACAGAACTACATAGTACATACACAACAACAATTAATAAACAAATTAAGCTGAGTGGCCAAACTGAAAATGGAATGGAGTAAACACACAACAGAAACAAACATGTGAGGCATACTTACAAATTACATCTTAACAGACAGAAATAATAGCTATAAAATTTTAGAATAGAAACAGAATAAAAAAAATATAGAAGAAAAATGAACAAAAATATTAATCAGATGCACGAAAGAGAGAGAGAGAGAGAGACAGAGAAGCTTAGGCCTGTTCGTGTGAAGGGGATAAAGATGCAAATGGAAATAGTACATGGCTTTGAAGAGGGTTTCTTATTTTCTGATGAGAAAAAACCAGCTTCCACCAATCCCTTCACCCCGCAGATATTGCTGCTCAGATGAAAAAGATTGCTTTCAACGAATAACATTTACACAGCACCACACCACCACCCCTACCATCCATCCCCGTATGCTTCCGTTTCTTTCTCTTTCTCTCTCTCTGTGCCTTTAGATTCCATTCACACCAGTGCCCCTGTAAATTTCTTATGTCTTTATCCCTTTTATCCTTTTACAACAAAACAGCTCTCCCACGGTAGCACCCGCACAAATTCGGGGATGAAAGTATCTTGAGCAGAAATATTTATTCCCACATTCTTTTTTTTTTTTTTTGGGGGCTCAGTTGAGAGCTGTGGCCATGCAGCAACTATGTCAGCGATACTGTCTCTCTCTCTGATCGTACTACTATAGTAATTCTTTGGGCCCCTTTAATTAAGTTCCTTAATAAATGTATGCTAATTTCCCAAGTCAATAATGCGTGGTTATTAGGAATGTATACGAATGGAATATTAACGATCGAATTAATATTAGTGATTTGTTTATTTAATTTTAAAATTATTTAGATTTTATTTTTATTTCATAAAAAAATTATTTTATTCAATTAAACAATAAAATATTCATATTTGATTTATATTCAGTTTAATTAAATTAAATAAATTTATTTATAAAAATTAAATGAATATATTTTCTAATATATATAAATGAATATATTTTATAATAATAAATAAATCATAATCAATTAAATTTAAATAAATAAATTCTAAACGAAAATAACCTAATCCAAACAAATTTTAAAATAAAATTAAAATAAAAGATAAAAATATATTTTTATTTTTATTTTTTATTATTATTATTATTATTATTATAAAACAATAAACAAACCTTTAAAAAAAGTGCTAAATGAAATTTAAATGAATTTGAATCAAACAAACTTTTATTTGTATTTTATTCATTTAATAAATATATTTAAAATTATTATTTAAAATTATTTATTTAAATTTAATAAATAAATATAAACAAAAATCAAACGTACTTACAAACAATTCATAAAGTCTTTGTTCGGTACACCCCTAATCCCCACGGTCTCTCATGCATTGCCATCTGTATCACCATTTCAGCCTTAACAATTGTCTCTGGATTTCTCTTTGTAACGGGCGGAATTGCTTTGCATGAAAGTTAAGCACCTGAACGAACTGAATCAGCTAGAGAAATTTTTATAGGATTGAATTTAAAACATGCTAAACTTTACTATCACGTCAAAAATCAATTACCCATTTTTCATTAAATTAAATTCACGAGTACTTGGTTTGTTCTCAAAGTGACATGCATGAATGTTACATAAAACTTGTACTATTAATTGGTAAAATAAGTTGCTAAATTTGTGATAGTATGGCCTATAGTTACTCAAATTAATATTGCAGTGAATGTTATTACATAAAAACTTGAAATTGGTACAAGGGTTTAGATTATTATATCCCAAAGTGGCCGGAAACCATTCCAAAATGAAGATAGCTTGGAATGGCATGGAGAATGGTCAGCAGCAGACTGTTGAGTGAGAACAATAGATAAACTTTTACAACAGCTACTACTACTTTGAATTCTTGATATATGGATGGACTCGGGAGGCTGCTGGTTTGGCATTTTATTTTTAGGCGATTGCATGAGCAGAGGTTTTCTTTTTTTCCTTTTTCTCTTACTCTGATACTAAAGGTGGAATTTATTATCCAATTGCCTAAGAATGGGGTGGGACCGCCTGCATGGAGTGACGGACATGTTGTGACGGGTATAATCAAACGGTAA